TCCCAGAGGTACACAGTTTGAGAAGGAGGGGCAATCTCCTCCTGTACCAGTCAGAGCTGATTTGACGGTACACACACACACAAATAATAATAATTAATAATAATAATTTAAAAAAACAAAAAACAATGAGTCAGAACCAACACCACGGCACTTGGTTTGACTCAACTCTGGGGGAAAATCAGAACCAGAAATTGTACAGAACGTGGTGTCACAGAGGTGGTGAGAAGTAGACATGAGAGGTGGAACCAGTCAGGAGGCGCTTTCTTGCCCACACAACGCAGCCTCACCTAAGGCCTTAACCCCCTTCTTCCAGCCTGTGTAGTAAGTTCCATTGTCACCATGTTAGTCATCTACTCAAAATCTTTTCTGTCACTGCTCAAGTCTCACCTCCTTACTCAGGCACCCAATGCCCTCCCCCAACTGGTCCCAACATTCATTCATTAATTTAACATTTATTCACATAATGTCTGGCTCTGTATTTAAAAAGAACAACAACAAAAAGTAGTGCCATTAAGTCAATTCCCATCCATGAAGACCCCTAGTGTACCAGAGTGGACTCACATTCAGAAGGGTTTTCAGTGGTTGGTTTTCTGGAAAGCAGACACCACCAGATCTTTCTCCCAAGGTGCCTGAGTCAACTCAACCGTCATTTAACTGAGCATGTTAACTATTTGTACCACGCTGTACCAGGGACTATGAAAACAAAGATGAATAAGATTTGGTCTTATTTTCAAGGTGCTTCGAGTTTTCAAGACAGAGGAATGATGTTACTCATCCCTTAAAATATCCCTTCTGTTTCAGCTAGATGGCCCCAAGTCCCTGGAACACCCACTGAATTCCCACCTCTGTCATCTCTGCTCTTGTTCCTCCATCTGCTCCCTCCCCCTACAGGAACTGAAAACCCACCCACACTGGAAGGCCTAGCTTCAGCCCTCCATCCCTGACAAGTCCCGTCCGCAGGGATTCTCTCCTTCCCCAGCCTCCTCTAGCACTTTGTGGTCCCAGGTTCCATCCCCATCCACTGGCTGCCTCACAGTATTTAACTTCTGATATACGTGCCCTCGCCAAAGACCTTTCTTAATAGTAATGATAATGATCATAATCAATCCCTACATTGGAAGAGTGCTTTGCCAAATGCTTTCACATGCCATTAGCTCATTTTGGCAATAGCTCTTTTTTGGCCTATCTTGCCTCCCCAACTTGATTAGAGACTCCTGGTGGGAACAAGGTAGGATGCAATACAGCCCCACAAAGTGAGTTGTTGTTAGGTTCCACGAAGCTGACTCCAACTCACAGTGACTCTGTGTACAACAGACAAAAAGTGCACAGCACTACGTTTTATTAGAAAGGGGTCAGTCGACGTAACAAAGGATAGTCTTGTTAGGATGCAGCCATAGGCAGAAAGCATCAAGACACCCACCTCTGCTTCAACCCCACTGAGCTAGCGGAGCTGCATGGGGAAGCCTGCCTTGGGAATGGAAAGACCAAGGCATAGATCCAGATGCAGGGCAGGAAGAGGGGAAGAAAGTGAAGTAGGAGAGGGCAGCCAGCGCCTAAGTCGACAAAGGGGGGTTCTCCCCATTACTCTCAAGCAGGCCCTTATCTGGAATGTCATAGTTTTTTGTAGCTAATCAAAAGGCAGTAGACCACAAAAAGTGCCAGCCTAGGTGATATCAACATCGTTCAAGAATCCCAATTCTGTCTTGGCACTGATTAGTGGATTGCCTCAGTGGTCCCACTAACTAGAGAAAACTCTTGGATGATCAAACGGACAACAGCAACTCAAAAGGTTAGAAAAGAAACTTGGGGAATAGTGAGTATATTAATGGTAAGAACAGCTGGAATTACTGTACATCTTAGAATGCCATCGATGCCACTGAATAGTACATGTAGAAATTGTTTACTTGGTAAAAAGAAATCATGGAACAATAGCAATCATAGAAAAAGGAACCCCCTAGGAAATGTGCCTAGGTCAAGACAAAGTATGGAGCAAGAGTGTGTCTTAGATAGTGAGCAGCTTGAGAACAATGACTGTGATTAATGACTCCTTGGCTCCTTGGCTTGTCCCCCAGCTTTCCCTTCCCATCTCCCTGGAAAACTTTCTGTATAACCTAAGATGGAAACTTTTCTTTACCATCCAACTCTTTCTTTAAGTCTTTGTTATGCTAAAAACACAAGACAAGACAGGCTCACAAGTCATCTCTTGTTAGATACCACTGGGTTAGATGACTCATAGTGACCCTTTGAACAACAGAACACCACCCAGTCCTGTTCCAGCTTCACAAGTCTCTCAGCTTTAAATAACATTAAAGAAATGCAGCAGGGAAGAAAGATAGGTTTTGTTTTCTCTCATGTAATCCAAACTACCAAAAGCATCTACTGCATCCTGTGGAAAAGTGGACCCAGCCATGAGAAGCAGGGCGAATTCTGAGAATCATCCCCTGGATTTATGTCAATATACCAAAGTCCTGAGGGGAAAAGAGTGCTGCAGAGGTACTCCCACCCAATTCATGATTCACCTCACATCCTGAGGTTTTTGAGGAATTTCTCTGCAATCTGTATATTCATGTGTCTCATAGGAAGAAGGCATCCACGAAGAGAGGAGACAAAGTGGAAGAGACATGAGGAGAATGGTTTGGTAATTGCTTTTAAGTGATGTCAAGTTGACTATGACAGGAGCAGATGGAAATCTCGCATTCTCCAATCACCATCCTGCTCAAACATACTGTTGCAGTCTCTGTGTCGGTCCATCTCGTTGAGGGTCTTCCTCTCTTTTGCTGCTTTTCTACTTTGCCAGCATGATGTCTTTTCCCAAGGAGAGGCCCTTCCTGACAACATGCCCAAAGTATATGAGACAAAGTTTCAGCACCCCTGCCTCTAGGAAGCACACTGGTTGCACTTCTCAAGGACAAGCTTGTTTGTTCTTTTGGCAGTCCATAGAGTACTCCTTACTCCTTACCAGCACTACAATGCAAAAGCATGGCCTCTCTCCTTTGAAAACTGGGTAGTTGGAGTGGTGAAACAAAAGGCTTTGTCTAAAGAAAGCATGAACTTCTGAATGGTCATCTTGGTAGTGAGAAACAGGGATTTCTGACCTTCTGTGCCAAAGGCGGACAGATGTCTCCCCTCTATAACACCAAGCAGGAGCCCCAAACATTTCAGGAAGTGGGTGAGTGGATGAGTTTAAAAACTCTCAAGGGGAAAACTCACCTCACTTCTGTTATGTGGTCTAGGTACCAGAGTGCAAACTCGGCTCTCCAGGCAAAAGCCAGGAGCCAGCCTGCAGCACTGTGTAGGTAGTCCAGCTGCTCTTGACACCAGGCCCATCCCCAGAATTGCCACTGCAAATTTCCGTAAGTGGCAGCCTGCGGCCCTTTGTCCTCAGTCTGGTCCCTCAGCCACTCCCTTCCTCACTCCACTTGCATGCTGCCTCTCCCTGGAGGCTCCCAGACATACAGCTTCCCTTCACCAACACTCTCCCTTCACACTCCCGCTATCTCTCTGAGATGTCACCAATCCAGAAAACCAGCAAGCTCACAGGATCTCCTAGGAGCCCGCCTTACAGCATCCCTGGCAAAGAAGGGCATGTCCTGGACTCTAATCTCCTGTCCACTGAAGACAGTCAACTACGACAAAGAGAGAATGAGAATCCTAGAACTCAATGATAATTACAAAGTCAGAACCAAAAACCACACCAAACCAAATGTATATCAAATTCAAAGAATATCTGCATCTATCCAGCAATGTGCCTGACATTGTGCCAAGTGTATTACAAGCATTATCTCATTTAATCCTTATGATACCTCAGGTGGTAAGTACTATTTATATACCCATTGTCTAGATGAGAAAGTGAAGCTCAGAAGCTTAATATTCAAGGTCATCCTGCCTCAAAGTGGCAGTGCAAAGTCTGACCACAAAGCCTGTGTCTTCACCATGAGCCTCTCTTAGCAAGGAATGGGTGGGGGTGGGAGGTTCAAAAGGAGGCTGATTCACCTAAAGCTCAATAAAAAGAAGGAGCTGAGTGCCGGGGCCCTCTCCAGGGCATTCCAGTTGGGTAGGTGTTTCCAGTGGCCTGTGTAGAGCAGATGGTACTTGAGGGCTGACCATGCCAGAACCTGTTAGCTGTGGGTGGAATTCCTTCAACTGGAAACTCAGAAGAAGGGCTCAAGAGGGGCAGAGACTAAAAGGGTAGCCCACTCCCAGAATAGGGGATCCTATTACAGCCTAGTATGGAATACCCCCAGCCCTTGGCCTTCTAAACACAGGACCCAGCACTACCAGATCAAAGGTGTTTTCTAGGGGTAGGGGTAGCCCGCCTGCCTTCTGAGCTGTGGGCTGGGCAAGTATTTTCGCCATTCCTCCATCCTCCTCCACTTCCTTCAAAACAAATGTTTCGGTCGGCCTCAAGCTTTTTTGGACCTGGATGAGCGCCTTTCTCACTCACTGGCTTCTCACCTTTTCCGTGTCCTCCTCCAGGTGTTCCACCTTGTGGCTTACCTTCACAGCTGTGTCCTGGAAACTCAGTCCCGTTGGTCTCTCCCTTCTTGTCCCCATCCTTGCTCCGCTCTGGGTTCCCCATGAACTGAGAGTACCTCAGTGACTCGGCTCCCCACCCGGAGTCCCTCGTCCCCTCCCTTCCTCCACTCGGGGATGTCATTCCAGGAGCTATGATTCTCCCTGCCCGGATCTGGGTACCCAGGCCTACACCCAGCAGAGGCTGAGGAGACCTGGAGGGGACATGGGGGCGACACATGGCCCTTTCGAAGGGAGGGCTCCCCCAAAAGGGGCCAATGATCCTGCCCCTAGTCCCAGCAGCAGGGACCCCCCCTCACCTGGGCCAGTGGCCCACCACCCCGAGATGTATCCCCCTCCCTCCCCCCTGGCCTCCGGTGCCACCGCCTCTAGCCGGAGGGGCTGCCAACTCCTCCGTGCCCAGCCCGGGAAGGAAGGGGCCGCCCGGGAGGGGAGGGCAGGGCGCCCCTCCGGCCACCGCCCCTTACCGATGGTGGAGATGTGAGAGGAGTGGAACTCGTTGTCGGTGAAGCGGCACAGCAGGCAGGTCTTGCCCACTCCGGAGTCCCCGATCAGCAGCAGCCGGAACAGCACATCGTACTGCTTCGCCATGGCTGGGGCCCGAGGGGGTCGTGGGGGCTGCGGGCTCGGCCGCTGTCATCGCGGCACGCCCCCCCACCCCACCCCCCGGGACGCCGTGGGCAGCGAGAAGGAAGCAGGCGGCCCCGCACGGCCTCGCCCGCGCGCTCGCTAGCAATGGTCTTTTAAACAGCTTCATATGTAGGCAAAAATCTGGACAATTAAAAAGGAAGATAGAAAAAGAACAGGTACATTTGAATGGCACATTTGAATTGTGATATTGGCGAAGAATACTAAAATGCTAAATAGATGCTAAAAAAAAAGCACGAATCACTCTTAGTAGATGCTATGGATGGATGGATGTATCCTTTTCTACTTCCCCTAGAAAATGTGTTGAAAATCCTAACCTGTCTGATTACAGTCCATGGAATATACTATGGACTTCCAACAGAACATACAAATCTACCTTGAAGGACATACAACCAGTGCACAAGGACAAAGAAACTTCACCTCACTTATTTTGCTCGTATTTTCAGGAGGTAGCAATATTTAAAGAGAGACATCACGCTGAAAAAGGTAAAGGGCTAGTGGAAGAGGACTCTTAACCAGAACGATTGAGGCAGCCACAAGCATAACGGGCGGGAGTATGACAGAGATCGATCGTGAAGAGGGTGCAGGGTAGGGTGCGGGTCAGATCTGGTTTATAGGGTCTCTGGAGTCATAGTTGACTCAGTGGCACTTTGCAATCACGAACACAACATGATTGTGGTTTTAATTCCACGTAAGAAAGTGCTTCCTGTTATGTTTCAGACGCAAGATTGCTATAGAACGTGTCTGGAGTTCATCTCTTACAAGAGATGAAAGGAGCCGCAAAGATGGGAGAAGAGAGAACCCAACACCACATGAAGATCAATGAGGAGACAAGGAAGGAGTAAGGGCTTTTGCCCAGATGAGAGAGAGAGAGAGAGAGAAAGAGGAAGAGAGAGAGAGAGGTCTCCAAGAGCCTGCACCCTGAATTTGGGCCGCTAACCTTAAATCTGAGACAGTGATTATCTCTCTGTGAAATCCACGCACTTGAGATATTTCTGTTTAGCAACACGAGATCATTAAGGCAGACAAAATATGGCCAGAACAGTCCTGAGGAGTAGGATAAGACTTCATTTGCTTCCCTTGGACAAGTCATCAGGAAAGAGCTGTTGCTAGAAGTGGACAGCGTGGTTGGTCAAGCAGAGGGAGCGAAAATGAAGGACACTCTTTCTGAGACGGATTGACATGGGAAGCCTCAACGAGAGACCCCGCGGATCAGCAGCCATGGAGGCAGCACAGGATCAGGATGAGTCCTGAGCAACCAACAGCAACAACAGCCAATGAAATGACCACTGAGGGGCACAAGACAGATGAGCGGACAGATTAGGGGAGAGGTACACACATTCTCTCAAGCTCAAAGGACTGACTTCTGTTCTTTTCAGGGATAGACAAAGGCAGACCAATGAGCCACCGTGTCACTGAGGCAGCTAGGGAAGTCTGAGAGAGGACAGAGTGACCAGCAGAGCCACCGCGATTGCTGTGACTATGCGAGCGCCTTCTGTGAGGACATTCTATTAACTGAAACTCTCTTGTGTGTGCAACAAAGAATCGAGGTCATTTCTTATTTTGTGCAACTCAGGACAAGGAAGCAGTCAATCTATGTGACCCAAGAATGGGGAGAGGAACAGGAGAAGGGGCATAATGCATCTTCTTATCTTAAACATCAAGGCCTGGGATGGAGTGGGGGGAAGGAGAGAGATGTGAAAGGCCAATCTTCCCTCAGTTCTCTCCAGGAGGGAGAAGAGATGAAGGGACCGGACTGGGTGTCAAACTCTTAGATGAGGTTACAGTGGATTATAAACAAAGCACAGACTACATTGTCACCCACGTTTTCAATCCTTTCAAGCCTGGAGGAAGGGAATCACTTTTTCACACCCTGAGAAAACAAGACAGATGCCATAAAAACCATCTGGGTAACAACTTCATTGTATTAAAGCAAATAAATGAGGGGCCTGTGTTGTGTCGCCTCCAAATATTTTGCATGCATGTCCCATCTTTTACCCACGGAGCTACAAATGCTTTATGGATAATGGTTGTTATAAAAATGATGAATTGCTTAGGTGGATTCTTTCTTTAAAAAAATTAACAGGAAGATCATCGGCAGACTTCGTTTCCTGAAGGGATACAGGCACAGAAAATGACAACTGGCTTATCCGACTTTGCCAGGTGTCTTTTTCCCCCCCTTTTCTTTTCTTCACAGCCATTGCCCCCACCTCCTTGTTTGGTTTGGTTTTGTTTCTGAACAAAGATCTTTGCAAGCACCAACATCTCTAGATTTGCAGAAAATTAATTCTGTAGATGATGTGGAAACGATAGCCTATAAAGTTAATGAGATATTACTGAAGGCTGGATAAACAATTAGCAGTATTAGCTGCGAAGATAAACCAGGACCTGTTGCCATCGAACAGCACTGCAACTAATTAAATTGAAAATTACAGCACAAGCGTGTGAAAACAAAGGCAAATGGAATGGGGGGGGTGAGAATTAACAGAGCTAATATTGCAAAGGAAACACTGTTATTAAAAATGGGTAGGAGGGTAGCGGTATGTGAGCCATCCGTTTTCCCTTCCTCCGTCTCCAGTTAGATTTTCTTCTCAGCTTTGAATGTCCCTGGTACTCTTAATTCCAGCATCTGTTTCTGGTCACTCCACAGGTCTCCTGAGATTTCAAGTTTGCATCTTCTTCCCGTGTGCATCACCTGCAGAGTTGCCTCGTCCACCCAAGTAAAGGAGTCTCTTCCTGACCCTGGAGACCATCTACCAAGTCCCTGAAGCATGAAATTGGCTTCCTTGTTTCTGAGTGTGAAGAGCTATAGACCTTCCCGGCGAACATTAGCTGCATCTCAAATCTCAGTATTCTGTGTTAGATTCAGGAAACCTCCAGCATCTCAGGCCTGTGATGCTCCATTTTCCCTTTGGGAGTTGTAATTTTTAATAAACAGCCATTCTTATGTGCTCGTCTTAGAGGAGCATGGACATCTCAAGAAGCCTGGTAGAAATGGATACAGACATGGCCTCAGAGACCTGGGTAGGGAGTTGGCTGGTTTCTATATCGCCCTATCACTTGGTGACGGTAGAGGAGAGCTTAGACAAGCAGACTTACCCTTGTGAGATGCAATGTTGGCCATAGCAAAAGCAGTGGAGGAGAAAGGAAACCGATCATCTGTGTTGTGTGCATCTAGGACTCTGATATTACCTCTACCTGTATTTGCTTGTGTGGCATCTCTGTGTGTATTGAGTGACCACACGATTGCCTTGCTTACATGATGGCAGGGAACCACGTGATGTAATGTATCCCCTTAAAAACAATAATAAAGGAAATCTGGCATAGTGGGGAAAAGTCCTCTGGGGAGTTCAGAGGCTCGTGTTCCAGTTTCTGAGTAAGTCATAGAAAGATCAGAAACGTAAGTGGACTGGTCATTTGAAGTCACCTAAATCAGTGAGGTTTTTATAGCGGCACATGCTACCTTTCCCTCGTCTCTGGATCCTACCAGTAGATGAAGACATGCCTTTGTTATTGTTAGATGCCATCAAGGTGGTTCCAAGTCATAGAGAGGGGGTACAATGCATGTGGCAGAAAGTGTCTCAGCGGACCCCATACCACACAGGTATGAATAACTATGTTTCCCAGAAGGCCACCAGTCAAGCCCACCTTCAAATCTTTGGAGCACAGAACACGGGGGCAGAAGGGCAGAGTGAGGGGAGATGCAATACGTATGTGACTCTATGCATAATAGAAAGAAATATCACTTAGTTCTGTGCCGTCCTCACAATTGCTACCACATTTGAGCCCATTATTGCAGCCAGTGTGTCATTTCATCTCTTGAGAATTGATCTTCTTTTCCACGCACTCTCTACTTTATAAAGCAAGATGTTTTCTTGCTATACTATGTATAAAAAGATCGTTTCCAAACCCCAACTCAGTCACCCATAAACAAGGGCAGGACTAAGGAAGACTTCTGAGAAGACAATAAAATTTTAGAATTGGAAAACAAAGCATCTTTTATTGGTTTGCATACAATCATTCATATACATTGTGTTTCATACATAAACGTGGTGTTTTACGCAATCATTCATATGTATTTTTTTATGTAATCAATCATTGTCAATCTATTCCTATTTATCACCTTG